TAGTTTAATAGTTTTACGTGATCCAAATAAAACCTGTAACTGTATACTGTGCAGATTTTATAGCAAGGTTACTAGGTTTAAAATGATTGCTGCCAGGCGCAGTTTACATGCCTGTAATCTCAACACTAGGAGGCTGAAGCAGGATGGCTGCAAGTTTGAGGCCAGCTTGGGCTACATGGTGAATTCTAGGCCGACCTGAACCGTATATAGCAAGACCTGGCCTCAAAAAACAAAATAAAACAAAACAAAACAGAATCCAAAAAAACAAAAACAAAATGATTGGTATTTCAAAGAAATGGAAAATATAGCAACCAAATAAAGACAAAACAAAGTTTTCAGTACTGTAGTTCATTCTTGCCAACCCCATTCCTTAAAATCATTTTATTGTCCAGTACAGTTAAATGACTGCTTTAATTTTGCATCGGTACCAAGGCTGATCTGTGAAGTTAGGGAATGTGGCCCCTCAAAAATCAGAAACCAAATTTGTACACATTTGACCTAATTATTTGGGAGCCTTAACTATAGCTACATTAATATTCTGTTGGGCTCATTTAAATAAATCTAATTGATATGTAACATCCCCCTACCTTTCTTCTAAAAAAATTCATTTTGGGAAGAAATAAACATAGTGAGAGAAGAAACAAGTATAGCTTTCACATCTCATAACTTCCAAAGCCAATGTTACACAGAGAATTGAAGACAGGTTTTACTAACTCACAAAACCACAGCTTCCCAAGGTTGACAAGAACCTTGTAGGCTAAAAAATACATAAACCAGATGTGGCAGCACATGCCTGTAATCCCAGCACTTGGGGAGCCTGTGGCAGGAGTAACATCAAGTTTGGGGCCAACCTGGGCCACACAGCAAGCTGAAGGCCAGCCTGAACTACACAGCAAGACCCTGTGTCAAAAAAGGTCACATACTGTAGGAAGATAGTAAATACCACACTCTGTCAGTCCCTCTAAGTGCCTACAAGTTAGATCAAGGTAAAAAGGCTAATCCTTTTATATTTTTAAAATAGTCATTTAACTATAGCATCTTAGTGTAAAATATTTTAAAAATAAAATTACTATTTACTGTGTCCTAATTATACATCAAGTACAGTGCTCAATGTTATAAGACACTGCAAACAACATAATCGTCCTCAACATCATTTCATTGGTGCTTAACTATCACTGTTAATATTCATCTATGCTCTTACAGGTGAGGTTATACATGTTTATCTGAGATACAAAACCCAAATCACACAAAACAGCCAAAGATTTGGTTGAAGTTGACATATAGGTGCATAGGAAAAACTTCAACAGGTAAAACTGATAACTATTTGTTCCTGTCTACTAAATCACCGTTTATCAACATGTGCTCTGGGGTTGAAATATTTTGTGCAAACACCACCTCGCTTTTCCAAAGACCCGAAGTGTTGCTACTAGGCTGCTACCCAGAAATAAGCACACCACCATTTTGATTAACTTTGGCTCTTTTTTATTCAGGAAGCATACACTAATCCTTTTTTATACACTTTCTTTTTACATTCCAGAAATAAGCGAAAATAGCAGTTTTAAATATGTTACAAAGTTGGCTTTTGGCGCTTAATAAGTTTTTTGAGAGAGGGACCAGACAATTTCATCAAAGCACCAAACACTATCTTCAGTCTTTTACCAAGCTCCACCACAGCTGTGGTTGCCCTAGATGTACTGTGTATCCAAACCATGTGAAAGCTACAAGGGAGAGTTGCTTTGAGTCTCTCTGCAAGGCACCAAGAACAAACAGTTCAAGCTTCCTTTCTTCAGGTTGAATCTACGTTTTTGAAACTTTTCAACTGCTCTCTCAAGTAGTGCTCTCTCAGCATGAAGACTAGAATTTGTTAAAACCCATATATCACAAGATACAGTAAATCACTTCCAAATAGTCTGGAAATCACAGAAGTTATAAATAAAAGAACACTAAAATTACTTTAAGAAAGTTTTACATCATTTAGTTGGTAAGGACATTTACACGTACAATTTACTGTTAAACATTCTATAACTGGTTTCACACAAGATGAAAATAGATAATACAAAATGATCTGACATTTTCAGTAGGTCTGCAATTAAAACTGTAATTTTACTGGAGTCAATAGCAACTTTACATATTGTAGCAGATTGCTGTGCTATGCCCTTTTACATGTGAATTTCTTGGGGTGAAATTCCATTTGGACATGTTCTTGCTTGCACAAACTACTAAAATCTGAGGGGCACAGCAATATCAAAGACACACACAGTGACTGCACAATATCATCTGCCGGATTAAGCTAATACAAGTTGATCGAATTCTTTAGGTTCCACTAGCTAATAAAGCACTATATGAAATGAACAGGTGAAAGATTTTAAGAATGAATATACTCTGCAACCAGAACATGTAGCATTTCTTTAATAAATCTGCCTCATTAGGCATTTACAAAATAAATTAGTAAGATCTCAATTTGCTTGGGGCATGACAAGCTCGTAATGCCCTACTTGGCCTTCCTGTTTGAGCTGATCTAGTAGGTCTTCCTTTCGTCTTTTTCTGCCTACCACTAGGTACCGATCATGGCCCACCCCATGAGACTTACTCTTCAGCCCATACTTCTGAGCAATCTGATGGATTTGCTTCCGCTCATCATTAGTCAGCTCCGTAGAAAAAGTTAAATCGGTGTGGCTCTCCGAGCGGGCATAGTTTCTGATGATCTGTTCAATATCTCGCTTGGCGATTTTATTGACCCTCTCTACATCAAGACCGAGCCCTTCCCGCTTATGCTGCTCTTTGACTGAGATAGGCTCCCGTATGCCCTCACCAGATTTACCTAAGCCACCACCCGTCCAACCCATCTTTCTAAGCAGCTGATTTCCTATGTTGTCTTCTTTGATCTGTTGTTTGTAAGCCTCTTCAGCAGAGCGGCCCTGGATTTCA